GGGAAAGAGAGAAAAAGTGAGAAAGCACCCCCTTGTGGGGGATGGTCACACTGCAATCCTTTTTCTCCCATTTCTCCCTCCTTTGGGATTTTGGCCATGCATGCCTAACATGTTTTCCAAGCTGTGAATTTGGCAAAGTAAGAAAAACCATGAACCATGAACCATGTTGTTGGCCGTGTGGGACTCAGCTACCCTGTCCCAGACTAGCCCCTTTTTATTATTTTCAAAATAATCATACTGGTCTTACCTTTGTTTTGTCTCATAGTTTTCCTCTGAATTATTTTCTTATTTTTTTTAACCACTAATTTTTTTTAGTTATGCCATTTGTATGTACCTTTTGTCTTTTGTATATAAGTTTTAGGAGGGTAGGTACTTTATCTTTTATTCAGTATTCATATTTCCCCTACATTACTTAATGGTCTGCCCCATGTCTAAGGAAAAAATAAATACTTATTGCATGAATTAAATGAGATAATTCCATTTTTATTTTCATAAATTAGGTTTTTGATCTATCCGTGGAAGAAGCACTGGCTTCTGAAAACACTATTGGTAGTATTGATGAAATCTTAGAGAAGACTGAGTCAAGTGTCTGCAAAGAGCTGGAGATATCTCTGGTTGTGAGTATTGCTGTTCTTGATGATTGCTTTCATTGAAGCAATTTGGTTTCTCTTGCTAGTTAAATAGTATTAAGACTGGTCTTAGCTTTCCTCTTCTTGTCCTATTTGAAAAAGTAACATCAAGTTCTAATTTAATCATAGTGAGAAATATTATATTCTTTTTTTTTTTTTGAGAGATTTTTGCTATAGGGCATGTGCGCTCACCAGACAGACAGAGAGAGACATTAGAGACAGGAAGCAAGAAATCACCCCCTGGGGGAAAGAGAGAAAAAGTGAGAAAGCACCCCCTTGTGGGGGATGGTCACACTGCAATCCTTTTTCTCCCATTTCTCCCTCCTTTGGGATTTTGGCCATGCATGCCTAACATGTTTTCCAAGCTGTGAATTTGGCAAAGTAAGAAAAACCATGAACCATGAACCATGTTGTTGGCCGTGTGGGACTCAGCTACCCTGTCCCAGACTAGCCCCTTTTTATTATTTTCAAAATAATCATACTGGTCTTACCTTTGTTTTGTCTCATAGTTTTCCTCTGAATTATTTTCTTATTTTTTTTAACCACTAATTTTTTTTAGTTATGCCATTTGTATGTACCTTTTGTCTTTTGTATATAAGTTTTAGGAGGGTAGGTACTTTATCTTTTATTCAGTATTCATATTTCCCCTACATTACTTAATGGTCTGCCCCATGTCTAAGGAAAAAATAAATACTTATTGCATGAATTAAATGAGATAATTCCATTTTTATTTTCATAAATTAGGTTTTTGATCTATCCGTGGAAGAAGCACTGGCTTCTGAAAACACTATTGGTAGTATTGATGAAATCTTAGAGAAGACTGAGTCAAGTGTCTGCAAAGAGCTGGAGATATCTCTGGTTGTGAGTATTGCTGTTCTTGATGATTGCTTTCATTGAAGCAATTTGGTTTCTCTTGCTAGTTAAATAGTATTAAGACTGGTCTTAGCTTTCCTCTTCTTGTCCTATTTGAAAAAGTAACATCAAGTTCTAATTTAATCATAGTGAGAAATATTATATTCTTTTTTTTTTTTTGAGAGATTTTTGCTATAGGGCATGTGCGCTCACCAGACAGACAGAGAGAGACATTAGAGACAGGAAGCAAGAAATCACCCCCTGGGGGGATGGTCACGCTGCAATCCCTTCTTCTCCATTCTCCTCTCGGGATCTTGGACACGCATGCACATGTGCCCGGCGTGAGTTTTAAGCCACTGGGTCTGGGACGTAAACCGCAGTCAACTACGTGGGAGTCCAGTGACATAGCCATTATGCTAACTGCTGGTTTCCAAAATATTACATTCTTATACTTAAGTATATGGATTATACTTATTCCATTTTAATAGGATATTTCACATCTGAAAATGTAGAATAGAATGTTTAATTCTAGGAACACACTTCTTTTTTTCTGGTGAGAGATTATTGCTATAGGGTTCATGCACTTACTGGCGAGACAGAAAGACAGAGAGGAAGTGAGAAATCACTCCCCCCGCCCCAGTAGGGTTGGCTATGCTGCAATCTTTTCTCTTCCATTTTTCTCTCAGGATTTTGGGCATAAATGTACATGTGCCCAGCGTGAGTTTTAAGCTTTTGTGTCCAGGACTCAAACAGTTGTCAGCCGTGTGGGAGTGTGGGAGTCCCACGATGTAACTGTTATACCATCAGCTGATCCTGGGAACACACTTACTAATCTAAACGAATCAGCTTTTTGTATCATTTGATTATTGAGTCCATTATACCCAGTGACTATAAGATTCCTTAGAGCTTCTGAAAACTTGACATGAAATCTGGGAACGCTATGAAATGGGCGTGCGGGATTGATTAGTAGCCCCCCCCCATTGTGTATATTTTGTGTTGTTATGTCAACGTAAAAATGAGTAACTCTTCAAGAGATTGTTTTATAGCATTGTTCATTGGGACTCTTTCTCAGTTATTCAGGCTGCTTTCCATAGTGGCTTTTCCAGTGGCTATGTTTTCCATTTTACTTGTTTGTTTTTTATTTTTTTGCAGTTTTACTCATACTAGAATTAATGCATTATAAATGATTACATTTTCCTATTTAAAATCAGTTTTCAAAAAAAATTAACAGAAAGATTAGTACTATGGAAAAACTACACATGGGTTTCAAAATTTTTCACGACAAAAAGATTTGTACTTTAGTTCAGTTTTCCATGATTTTTTTTTTTCCTGCTAGAGGGCACCTGTGCTTGCCAGAGACAGAGAAGGAGAAGAGAAAACACACACACAAACACACACACACCCCCCATGGAGAAGCCCCAATCCCTTCACATCTCTCTGCCTTGAGGTTTTGGGCATGCACATATATGTGCCTGGCATGTTTCTTGAGCTATCAGGTTTGGGACTCAAACCTCATGGTCAGCCATGTGAGACCCAATGGCCTTAATCATCAGGTCTTAGAGCTGGCCCTCCATGATCTTTTGAAGTCTTCTCATAGTCCTGCAATAGATGGTTTTGTCAGACTTGTTTTATTTTTTTTTAATAAGTGGTTATTAGTATATGAGTTCCAAAAATAAAATGTTAAAAATTCTATGTATTATTTAGTTCTTATATTTAGGATATTAGTATCTATATTTAGGATATTAGTATCTATCTGTTTCCTGTAATGTTCTATCTGAGACATCTTTAAAAATAAGATTAATGGGGTAAAATTTCCCAGATGAATATCTTTGATATTCATCTCTTGCTTCTGTGTTAAAAAAAATTATGTTTAAGAACCATTCTAAAATAGATATAGAAATTTGTCAAAGGTATCATTTTGAAGTTTATTGAAGATTTTGATATTGTGGGTATTCATTCATGTAAAATTCCATGTGTGTAATTTTATTTAGGAGCAAGGTGATACAGACAAGGAGATCATTTTAAGTACATACAGTCAAGTACTGCAAAAGATCCATTCAGAGGAAAGACTCATTGCCACAGTGCACTCCAAGTACAAGGACAGTATTGAGGTGGGATTATGCTTTCTTTTATTGGGCTATAAACTGATGCTTTGAAAAATATTTTTAAATGATTGCTTATTTAATTTTATTTATTTATTATTATTATTTCAGAGATTTTTGCCTAGGGTGTGTGCACTTGCTGGAGAGAAAGAAAGAAAGAGAGGGAAAGTAAGAAATCACTTTCCACATGTTATGGCCAGATCATAGTCCCTTCTCAATTTTCTTCCCAGGATCTTGGGCACAGATACATACATGCCTGGCATGATTTTTCAAGCCACCAAGTCCGGGATTTGAACCGCAATTGGCCATGTGGGAGTCAAATGATGTAATGGCTACACCATCTAGTGGTTCTGTATTTATTATTATTTTTAAATTTGCCATAGGGAATGTGTGCTCACCAAAGAGAGAGAAGGAAGGTTAGAGAGCAAGCTGCCAGGCCCTGGACTTGAACTGCAGTCAGTTGTGTGGGAGTCCACTGCCTTAACCACCATGCCACCCACTGGCCTGCTACTTTGAATTTTTAATTCTTTCTTCTATCTATCAATCATCTACTTACTTGCTAATAGTCATTCACTATACATCAATACAGTCTACAGAATGAGATTTTCCATGCAGTATACATTGTATATTGGCTCAATCAAGGATATTACCATAACATGTTGTCATCAACAAATAATTTTCTATTTCTTGTTTCTTACATATTTTACTTAAACCCCCCCACCTCCCCCAAAAATAAGATTTTCCATCTAGTATACATTGTATATTGGCTCAATCAAAGATATTACCATATATGTTATCATCAACAAATAATTTTCTATTTCTTGTTTCTTAAATATTTTGCTTTATTTCCCAACCCCCTTGATTTCCCTACCTCTCACCCTCTGCCAATTCCCCCCTTCTCCTACACTGTCTCTGGTATGTACAGTTATTGTCCATGCTTTTTTTTTTTCACATTTTATTGATTCACTAAAGATCTTAATTAATTTAAAGACTTTTCAATAGCAAGCACAGCTGATACATACATATTTATGAATGCATGTCTGACTTTAGGCATAAACCTCAGTGAGTAAAGTAACGTACCATAAAGTAGCACCTCACTGGGGCTATATAGCTTACTGCATTCATTAAATAGGCATTAATAGATATTAAAAAAATTTTTTGAGAGGTTTTTGCTGTAGGGCACGTGCCAGAAAAACAGAGAGAGACAGAGAGACAGGAAGTGAGAAATCACCCCCTGGGGGGATGGCCACGCCGCAATCCCTTCTCCTCCATTCTCCTCTCAGGATCTTGGGCACACATTCACACGCGCCTGGCATGAGTTTAAGCCACCGGGTGAACCGCAGTCGACTACATGGGAGTCCAGCAACATAGCCATTACGCTAACTATTGGTCCCCTACATTTTTTTTTATTAATTAATTAATTTTCATTCATTCGCTGAGCATCATCACAGCATAAAAAATGTGCTTTCCCATCCAGGATATAGTGCATAGTGGCTTAGTCATACATGTTATCATCAATAATTTTCCATTTCTAGTTTCATATATGTATGTATATACATATTTTTCCCCCTATTTCTTACTCTCTGCCATTTCCCACCCTCCTCCCACACTATCTCAGGTGTCTAAAGTTGTATTCCATTTGTTTTTTTCCATACATTTTGTTGAATCATTAAATTTCTCAAATAATTTAACTACTTTTAATAACAAGTTCAACTGATATATACATATCTGTGTCTGACTTTAAGTGTGAAACTCTTGAGTAGAATGAATATACTATAAAGTAGCACCTAGCTGATGCTATATAGCTTACTATGGCCATTAAATAGGTAATTTTTAAATATATTTTTTAATTTCCAGAAAAACAGTTTTAGCTTTAATAAATCAAAGAAATGCTAAGACAATGCTTAAAACTTAAAGCCAGGAAAGAGGTTAGGATTCTGTTCAAATAGCAGGTACGTAAACCTATCGGCAGCCCAAGATAGGAAAAAAAAAATCTTTCAAACCGGAAAACAAAGCCTAGAAGAAAATCACAGCAATATTTTAGTCAAAAGTCATAAAATGCTATTTCACCAGTTCAATCTCATGTACTTAATCTATCTTTTGTTGTGGTTCGATCTTCCTTATTAATTTCTGGGATATAATATTCAACTCTAGACGCGTCCCTATGGTTAAGTTGGCCATTTTCTTAGTTTTTGAACTCTTATTTCTGTGTCTGCATTTAATTTTCTTTGTATATCACTCTATTCAAAACTTCTTGCAGTGCTGGTCTGGCATTGGTAAATTCTTTCAGGTTTTGTTTATCTGAGAAGGTTCTTGTTTTGTCTTCCCATATGAAGGCTAATCTTGCTGGGTACAATATTCTTGGTTGAAATTGCTTTTCCCTTAACACTTTGAATATATTTTCCTATTCTTTCCTTACTCGCATTGTTTCTGATGAGAGGTCTCCTGTTAGCCCAATGGGCTATCCTTTGAAAGTAACTTGACGTTTCTCTCTTGCTAATCTTAGTATCTTATCTTTGTCTGTGGATTTGATCAGTCTGGCTATAATGTGTCTTAGAGAAGATCTTCTTGGATTGATTCTATTTGGGATCCTTTTTATTTCTTGGGAACGGATCTTTGAATGCCTCTGTAGGTTTGGAAAGTTTTCTTCTAGGATTTCATAGAATAGATAATTAATGTCCTTTGAGTCTCTTTGCCTTCTGGGATACCAGTTGTCTGGATGTTTGGACGTTTGATGGTACCTAGTATTTTTTGTATATTATTCTCATTTTTGGGGGGCAATTTTCTCAGTCTTCATGGTGGATTTTTCTAGGCCAGTGATTCTGCATCTGAGATTTGATTTTCTGTATGATCTAGTCTGCTTTTAATACTTTCAAGGGAGGTTTTGACTTTCTGGATTATAGCCTTCATCTTTAACAGGTCCATTTGATTCTTTTTTATGGTATTTTGTATTTCAAATCTTGCAAGAATTTCCTCACCTCCTGGAACCCATGAACTCCTTTCTCCTGCCTGTTCTGCAGTTCCTTGTCTCTCTTCTTTTGCATCTCTGTTAGCTTTGTCATTCTGAATATTCTAAATTCTTATGTGACATTTCCATGACTTTCATTGTACTGTCTGTGGATGAAGAGGAGTCATTCTTTTTCTTCAGAGGAGAAGTATTTTCTTGCTTTCCCGTATTTCCTGTAACCCCGAGGCAATTTCTAGTCATCTGATGGATGATGCGTTTCTTTCTAATTCTTGAAGTTTGATCTGAGTGTTCAAAGCTGTGCAGGAGGAGCTGATCTGCAATCTCTCTTCTGTTCCGTTTTTCACTCTTTGTACATCAGAGTCAGTGGGAATTGAGGAATATTCTGACCCTAATTGTATTCAGATGTTTGGACCCTGTTCACTTGGACCTGTCTAGACACTCAGTGTGTGGAGGCTACTAAAAATGAATCTGGAGGGAGTAGTCTCAGTAGAAAATCATCATTTTTAGTCAATGAAAGCAATATTTCACAGCTAAAGTTCAGTAACCATCTCAGGATGGGCCCGAGTTTATGCTTTTCCTCATTAATAGATATTTTTTAATTTCTTTCTAATTAGTTTTAGTTTTAATAGATCATTGTTAAGAGAAATTTGCTTAAAACTTAAAGCTAGGAAAAAGGTTAGAATTCAGTTCAAACAGTAGGTAGATGAACCTATCAACAATTGAAGACAAGACAAAAATCCTTAAATATGGAAATCAAAGCATCAAAGAAAATCAGTAATACTGTAGTATAAAGTAAAAAAAATTCTATTTCACTAGTTCAGACTCATGGAATTAATATCTCTTCTATTGAATTACTGTGGTCTGATCCTTCCATTTAATCTCTGGAAGTTAACATTCAACTCTGGATTTAGGCCTATTAGGCTGGCCATTCTCTTGGTTGTTTTCTTGTACTCTTATTTCTGTGTGTCTGACTTTAGTTTTCTTGGTATAGCACTCTCTTCAGCACTTCTTGGAGAGCTGGTCTGGTGTTGGTAAATTCTTTCAGATGTTATTTATCTGAGAATGTTTTTGTCTTTTTTCCCATATGAAAGATAATCTTGCTGGGTATAGTATTCTTGGTTTAAATTGTTTTTCACTTAACATTTTGAATATATTTTCTCATTCTTTCCTTGCTTGCCATGTTTCCGATGAGAGGTCCAACGTTAGCCTTATGGGATATTCTTTGAAAATAACTTGATGCTTCTCTCTTGCCAATTTTAGTATCTTGTCTCTGTCTGCAATTTTGGTCAATCTGGCTGTGATGTGCCTTGGGGAAAATAGTCTTGGGTCAATTCTATGTGGGTTCCTTTGTATTTCTTGGATCTGGATATTTGAGTGCCTCACTAGGTTAGGAAAGTTTTCTTCCAGGATTTCTTGGGATAAATTATCAATGCCCTTATTAGTTTCATCAGCTTCTGGGATACCAATGATCCAGATGTTTGGGCATCTAATGGTATCTAGTTTTACTTGTATGTTTTTCTCATTTTGGGGGGTTATTTTTTCAGTCTTTTTGGTGAATTTCTCTAGCTTAGAGATTCTGTCTTCTTCATCTGAGATTTGACATTTTGCATGATCTTATCTGCCTTTTTTTTTTTTTTTTTTAAGAGGTTTTTGCTATAGGGCGCGTGTGCTGGCCAGAAAGACAGAGAGAGGCAGAGAGATAGAGAGAAATCCCCCCCCGGGGAGGATGGCCCTGCCGCAATCTCTTCTCCTCCATTCTCATCTTGGGATCTTGGACACGCATGCACGTGCACCCAGCATGAGTTTAAACTACCAGGTCCGGGACTCGAACTGCGGTGGACTACATGGGAATCCAGGGACATAGCCATTATGCTAACTGCTGTTCCCTAATCTGCTTTTGATACTTTCAATGGAAGGTTTGACTTCCTGTATTACAGCCTTCATCTGTAACAATTCCATTTGTTTCTTTTTTATGATCTTCTCTTTCAGACCGTGAAAGAACTTCCTCACCTCTGGAGCTCCGTTTCTCTTTTCTCCTACATCTTCCAGAGTTAATTGTCTCTATTCTCTTGCGTCTCTGTTAGCTTTGTCACTCTGAATATTTAAAAGTCTTTGACATTTTCATGAGTTCCCTTGTATTCTTTGTGGAAGAAGAGTTATTCTTTTCCGTAAGAGGAGAGATATTTTCTTGGTTTCTTCTATTTCTTGTGCCTTTGCAGTGGTTTCTAGTCATCTCATGAATTATATGTTTTTTCCTGCCTCCTGGCTAGACTAGGGAATAGGAGAGTGAAATCTCAGCAGGGGGTCTTTGGTGGTCAAAATTCCTGAATGGGCTGCTCAGAACTCAAATAAAGATGACTGCTGGGGACCAGCAGTTAGCGTAATGGCTTTGTCACTAAACTGCCACGTAGTTGACTGTGGTTTGCGTCCCAGATCCAGTGGTTTAAAACTCACGCCGGGTGCATGTGCGTGCGTGCCCTAGATCCCGAGAGGAAAATGGAGGAGAAGGGATTGCGGCGTGGTCATCCCCCCGGGGGGTGATTTCTCGCTTTCTGTCTCTCTGTCTCTCTCTGTCTGTCTGGTGAGCGTACGCACTCTATAGCAAAAACCTCTCCTCCCTCCACCCCCCCCCCCAAAAAAAAAAGATGACTGCTGATTGGTTTATCCTGGCTAGACTGGGGAGCAGTAGGGATAAGTCTGGGCAGAGGGTCTTTGGTGGTCAAAATCCGAATATTTAGTTCTTAAATTTTTCTCAAGTAGTTCAATACTCAGTATGTTGGTAAATTATTATTATTAGAAAAACAGTATAGTGGTACATAATTCACTATAAAGTGGAAATGGTGATTTTTGTTTATATAAATATATTGAATTTTTTATTGTCTTAAATCTTCTATTTTCTTATGTCCTTGAAAATATAATCTTTGTTATTATTTTCTTTTTTTCTGTACAAATTTATGGGAGAAAATTTTCTATATATAGAGAAATAAGAAATAAAGATACCACATCAATTTCTTTGGCCTACGAGATACTAGTTTGAGATAATTCCTTTTTGGTTGGTGATGTGTTTGCACGTACACATGCACTTATGTGCTTTATATTGTCTTGCAAGCTGTTTTGAAAATAATGGTATTATGAATGTTTCTCCATGCTATTATTTATATACTGTCATTCTGAGTGACAAGCTGTGTACATATACAGTGGAATTATTTAACCTATCATTTATATTGGTTATTTCTGTTTTTCTTTCTACCATAAATAATGCTGTACATAATCTTTGTATATACTTTTTTGTATTTTATTAGTATCTCAAAACTATAATTGCTAAGTGAAAAAGGATGAACATTACTAAAACTTGATACATATTGTCAAATCTTCTTTTGGAAAAGTTAGAATATACTGATGTAAATAAACTGATCCCTCCTTTGGGATAGAGGATTTCAGTATACATCCTCCCTAGAAATTCTAGTTTGCATCCACTATGTGTGTCTCACTGTATTTCTTAGCTTGGAATATCACTTTGTCTTTCTTAGAGTGGAATAACTGACATTTTCCTAAATAAAAATGTGGGTGATTAGGAAATCAGTTGGTAGAATTGTCTTGTTGAAAATTACAGTATTTCTTAGTATTTCATTTTAAATGCAGTAAAATACTTTTTGAATCTGAGCAGAGAAATGACTGGTCAGTAAGTGACTATTCAATAAATATAGTAGTCTGGTGTGTTTGACATTATAGTAACTCTTCTCTCACTTAGTTTAAAAAGCAGACTATGGAATGTTTAAATAAGAGTCCCAGTGTGGATCAGTTGCTGTCTATTAAGAAGACACTGAAAGGCTTGAAAGCTCGACTGAGATGGAAATTGGTTGAAAAGAGTAATTTGGAAGAAGTAAGGATACAGTTGTTTTTTACTGAGCTATACATGCACTTCATTTTTCTTGGGCACTGTTTCATACAAGTAATGTATAGAAATATACTTTAAAACGAAATCCATTACATTTTGTTTTATGTTCTTTATCTTTTTTTCCTGTAGATACATAATATTGAGATTACATTACTAGTGTAAACATTTTCTGGTGCCATTAAATGTTTTCTAAAAGCATTTTATGGCTACCTTGGTTTTTCAGTAACATGAACATTTGGGATAATTTAAAAATCTGTTTTGCGTTGAACTATTATAATACGAACCTACAACATGCAGGTGAAAGATAACATGTTCACCCAAAGGAGGAATTTTGTTATAAAGTATTTGTTTCTTTGCTTTTTATTTATTTTAGGGTTTGGCTGTTGTGATTCTCCTGCCTCAGTTTCCCACCTGGGACTACAGGTTCATTGTCATGGTACCTGGCTCTTTTTTTTTTTTTTTTTTCCAAGACAAGGGTCTTACAAGACCCAGGCCAGCCTAGAGCTTGAAACCCTCCTGCTTTAAGCCCAGTACAGCTAAGAGCTTGAAATTCTCCTGCCTCAGGCTCTCAAATCACTGGGGTTACAAGCATATGCCACTGTATCTAGCCTTTGTATTTTTTTGGTAATCAAAGCCAGGTCTCCCATATGGCCCCAGGCTACAGAGTTTAGTGTTTCAGTGGTGTGTATCACTGTGGTTGGGTCCATCTTAAATTTATTATTTTTTCCTTTCTTTAGTTTTTGCTATAGGGCACATGTGCTCATCAGAGAGAGAGAGAGAGAGAGAGAGAGAGAGAGAGAGAGAGAGAGAGGGAGGGAGGGAGGGAGGGAGGGAGGAAGAGAAAGTGAGAAATCAACTCTCAGGAGGGATGGCCACACTGTAATCCCTTCTCTTCCAGTCTTCTCTCAGGATATGGGCACACATACACCCAGCATAATGCCTGACGTGAATTTCTTTTCTTTGTTTTTTTAAAGAATCTTTTTCTTAATCTTTTTTCCTTCCTTCCTTCCTTCCTTCCTTCCTTCCTTTCTTCCTTTCCTTCTTTTCCTTTCCCTTTTCCTTTCCCTTCCCCTTTTCTCTCCTTCCTTCTCTCCCTCCCTCCTTTCCTTCCTTCCTTTCTTACTAGAGAGGGACAGAATAAGAGAGAGAAAGAGAAGGAAAGTGAGAAAGCAAACTGCCAGGTCAGGGACTCGAACCATGGTCAGCCATGTAAGAGTCAAGTACCCTTAGCTACCGTGCCACCTGCTGGCCCCGCCTGGCATGATTTTCAAGCTGCTGGATCTGGGACTTGAACCACACAGTTGGCCATGTGCAATCCAGTGCCTCAACTTCTACGTCATCTGCTGGTCCATGTAGTATTCTTAAATCATGGTCCCTTTGTTAACGCTCTTTTTATGCCTGGATGATATAGTTTGCAAATATTTTAAGGTGTTTTCATATGATAATAAAACTGGAGAAACTAGGAAGTTCTATTCTGATAAAAGCCTTTCTAGGCTTGAAACTTTGTAAACAAGGTAGTAATTCTTTGTCCATTGAGGATCCGATTTATGTACAAAAGAGATCTATATTATATCTTAGTGCAACTTGAATCATCTCTCAACCTTTTCTGAACACTTAATTGGAGACAGACTGGAGACTATTCTAATTACATAGTTTAAGTTTTCCAGTTTTATCCTGTTTTGGACTGTGGGGAAGGAGGTCACTTTAAGTACATTTTTTCAACTTCTGGAGCAATGTATCTAATATGTATGTGTGCATGTATGTGTGTATGTATCTTTTTACATGGTTTAATTACTGTCATTGGAGTTTAATGGAATCTTTGTGAGTCCTACATCATCTTTCCTCTAGTAAATATTTCCCACATGACTCATCCTTTGATTTATTTTTAACCAAATCTCACATTGAAAACTATTCTAGGGAATTCAGTTGTATTCTGGTTGCTATTCTGACATCTATTTTATGATGGCAGTTGGTCATCTTTATCATCTGTATCATTGTCATCTTAGAGAAAATATGTATCAAGTTAAGAGACCAAAATCTATATAATTGATTTTATGTTTTTATTTTTTATAAATCCTTTTACTAGGCTTTGGAAAAGTAATAGTTTGAATAAACTGATCTAAATTAATTAAAATGTTATGAGAGTCTGTAGAAATCACAAAGAGCAATTTACTGTAAAAGTTGCTTAATTCTTATACGAAGGTTTGTTTCAGTCTACTTGAGTAAACCTGCACTTTTCCTTTCTGATTAAAGTCTGATGACCATGATGGATCTGAAATCGAGAAAATAAAACAAGAAATAACTCAGTTGCGCAATAGTGTCTTTCAAGAAATTTATCGTGAGAGGGAGGAATATGTAAGTATTTGATTCTTTGAACTTTTAAATTACATTTTATTCTAGAAATTGAATTAATATTCATTTTATGAAGTGGACTATAATCACAAGGCTAGACATCTTATATTCGCATAGTAATAATGTTTATATATATTTAGAATTAATTTCTGTTGATAAAATAATTTATGACCTTTGTACCAATGTGGAAATTACAGGAAATTATAAAGAAGAATAAATATCACTTGTAACATTTCCACTCACTGGTAAAACAGTAGTTATCTTTAATCTTTGATTTACTTTTAAGTCTTTTCACTGCTTGTTTTAGAATTCAGGGCCTAACACAGCACTCTTGTGCATACTGTTTTGTTTTTCTGTTTAACATAAAGTTTGAAAGATTTTTCCCTCATATAAAACCTATATGAGCATTGTTTTAGCATAATGTTATAATGAAAATATTAATGGAGCCAGCATAATTTAGTTAAAGAATGTAGCAAAATAAAATTACCTTGTTTTGGGGTCAGTTACATCTATACCTCATCATTTCACCACTAATTTTTGTGACCTTGGGAGAATCACTGTATTATCCCTTTAAAGTAGTAAGAACATTGTATTTTATGTTCAAGGAATGTTGTATCGAGGAAATTAGTTAAACAGTACTTTGAAAATAAAAATGCTATGAAAATAATAGACATTTAAAAATGTAATGCTTTATATAAACTCATCTGACTATGCAATATATGATAACCCTTGGATTAAAATAACTGTCTCCTAGTGATTGGAAAAGTGTCTATAAGTTTTACTTGATAGACATGTAATAAATGACTTTTCTTTTGTAAGGATCCTCAATTTTCACATTAGCTTCAAAGTAACTTATGTGGAGCTACATATTTATTTTTTCTTGTGAGGATTTTTATGATTTTTTCCTCCTAAGTTAAACAACTATTACTTTAAAATGTCACTGTGGGACCAGCAGTTTGTGTAATGACTTTGTTGCTGGACTCCCATATAGTCAGTCTACTGTGGTTTAAGTCCTGGATCCAGTGGCTTAAACTCACGCTGGGCGCATGTGTGTGCGTGCCCAAGATCCCGAGAGAAGAATGGAGGAGATTTCTTGCTTTCTGTCTCTCTGTCTCTCTCTGACTTTCTGGTGAGTGCACACGCCCTATAGCAAAAACTTCTCAAAAAAAAAAAAAAAAAAAAAAAAAAAAAAGTCCCTATGCCTCCTAATTTTAAAAAAAAAAAAAAAAGAAAGAAAAAAGTCACTATGCTCTCTATATTTTGAGAAAAAATAACAGTGTTATGATTCACATTGGTTTATTGTACTTTTCATTTCAGTTTGCAAGTGAGTGTGGACTTTGATTTCATGCAAGATTTATACTTTTATAAATATGTGTGTATGTGTGTGAGAGAGAAAAAGAGAGAGAGAGAGTGAGTGAGTGATGGGCATGCACACAAAAAGCCTAAATTTGATAATTAAGATTTTCTTCTATAAATAAGGTGGTAATTTAGATCCCAAGTGACTCTTGGTTTTGACTTGATATTTCTTGAGGTAAAAGGCCAATTGGTGATTGTATATATCTTACTGAATATGTAATAAGGCAGATGCTGACACATTGTATTTTCTTGAGATATCACAATTATATATATATATTCCCCCTTCCCCCTTAAGAAAGAGATTTTTGATATTGGACACATGTGCTTACCGGAGAGACAGAGACAGAAAATGAGAAATCACACCCCCAGGGTGATGGCACAGCACAGTTCCTTCTCCTCCATTCTCCTCTCAGCATCTTGGGAACATACACATACACCCAATGTGAGTTTCGAACTGCTGGGTCCGAGACTCGAACCATGGTCAACTATGTGAGAATCTGGTAATGTAACATTATGCCATTTGCTAGTCCCAATTGAATATATATTAATCTACAATAAAATATATCTTTTAACTCTAGGAGAAGCTGAATAGCTTAGCACAGAAATGGTTCCCTGAGCTACCTCTGCTTTATCCTGAAATAGGATTACTTAAGTACATGGTAAGTTTTATTTTTCTTGAGAATTACTACTTTCCAGCGTTGAAAAGCGATTATGTTAAGGTCGTATGTTAGTGTTAAATTTATAGTATCCTCTCTATAAACATATTCCTGATGAATATTTTTTGGTAATTGTAACTTTTTTCCCAAGTCTTTTGTGTGTGTGTGTGTGTGTGTGTGTGTAAATTTGCTAGAGGGTGTGTATGCTCACTGGAGAGAGAGAGGAGGGAAAGAAAGAAAGCACACCCCCTGGGGGGATGGCCTTGCAATCCATTCTCTTCCATTCTCCTCTGGGATTTAAAGCATGCTCATCCACTGGCATATATTCCAAGCCATAGGTCTAGGACTTGAACTATATCGCCAGCCATGTGAGGTCCAGCTGCCTTACCCATCTTGTCACTGGCTGACTCTCAAAGATTTTTTAAAATAGTTACATAGTGCATATTTTTAATGTTAATTGGCATGCTACTTTTCCTCATTCTCATTTAGTAATTATAATAGTGGTTACTTGAATTATAGGTTTTTATTTTTTTAAATGATAAAAAGTTAACTGCTATTTCAAGAATTTGCATAAAAACAGAATATAGGTTGAGTATCTAATCCAAAATTCAAAAGATGAACTCTGAATATTTGAAATTGAAAAGTTGTTGGGCACCACCATACTGTTACAAGTGGAAAATTCCACACTCCACCTCGTGATGGGTCACAGTCAAAATGCTGCAATCTACAACTCTTGTATAAAATTACCTCCAGGCCATGTGTGTAAGGTGCATATGAACTATACATGAATATCTTGTTCAACTTGGTCCCAGATGCAAGATATCTCATGTATATCCAAATATTCCAAAATTGAAAAAACTGAAATATGAAACTTTTTGGATAAGGGATATTTATCCTATACTGTTAACCATGAGGAATGTAAGCAGAATGTGTGTTTAAGTTAAATCAGGCTGGAAAAAATTCTGGAGAAGTTAGCTGAGATAGAAATGTTGATATCGGTATGTGAAGGCTGGAATGTTAGGGGCAGTATAGGCAAGATCGATACTCTCAAATAACACAGTTATTATCAAATAACTGTTATACCTTGCCTCTTGGGATGAGAGACTAGGTGAAGTTTTTACTTATTTATTTCTTTTTCTTTTTTTTTCATTTTCTTTTATATATTCATTCATATTATGTGGCTTACAAAATGGATATTTCAACAGGTGAACATTTCTCCCTAGTACAGTTGACAAAACTATAAGTTATCTTTAACAGATAATACCACATTTCTTTGTCCCATTAATGCTTTGCCTCCCTATTTTTCTTCTAAATGTCCTTCCTCAGACCCTCCTCTTTCACACACACTATATCTGGTATTTAAATCTATATACTGTGTTTCTATATCCTTTAGTAAATCAGTTTCAGTCATAGAGTGCAGACACTTGGTATATATTAAGTGGGGACATACAGTGCCTCTCCTTCATAGCCTGGCTTGCTTCACTCAGCAGTAAATCTTCCATATTCATCCACTTCTGTCAAAAGCTAGGGTTTTGTTGTTGGTTTTTTAATGGCTGAATAGTATTCCATAGAATATATGTGCCACAGTTTTTCTATCCGTTCATCTGTTCATGGGCATTTGGGTTGTTTCCATGACTTAGCAATTGTGAATAGTGCCGCAATAAACATCCATGTGCAAGCACCTTTCCGATTAAGTATTCTTTTGTCCTTTGGGTAGATACCAAGGAGTGGGATTGCTGGATCATATGGTAGTTCTATTTGTAGATTTTTGAGGAATCTCCAAATTGTTCTCCACAGTGGCTGGACCAATTTACATTCCCACCAGCAGTGTAAGAGAGTTCCCCTGTCACCACACCCCTGCCAGCACTTACCGTTTTTTGTTTTTTTAAATCTTAGTCATTCTTACTGGGGTTAGGTGGTATCACATTGTTGTTTTGATCTGAATTTCCCTTAAAATGAGGGATGTTGAGCATTTTTTCATATGCCTTTTAGCTATTCGTGTGACATCATTAGAGAGTGGTTTTTTTCAACTCATTCTCCCATCTTTTAATAGGATTTATTGTCTTTTTTCGGAACAGCTGCTTGAATTCTTTGTGAATTCTGGTTATAAGTCCCTTATATGACGCATAGTTTACAAAATGTTTTCCCATTCTGAGAGCTGTCGATTCACACTAATTACTGTGTCTTTTGCCATGAAGAAACTCTTAGTCTGTTGTAATCCCACTCGTCTGTTTTGGGGACTATCGACTCTGCTTTAGGGGTCTTATTTAAGAAGTCTTTCCCTGCTCCAGTGTCTCCCAGAGTTCCCCCAGTGTTTTGCAGGAGCAGTTTCATAGTTTGAGATTTTAGATTTAGATCTTTGATCCACTTTGACTTGATTTTCATCAGAGGTGAGAGGTAGGGATTCAGATTCATCTTTCTGCAAGTGGAAATCCAGTTTTTCCAGCACCATTTGTTGAAGAGATTTTCCTTTTCCCATTGGATTGACTGGCACCCCTTGTCAAAAATCGGTTCACTGTATGTTTGGGAATTTATTTCTGGGGACTCTATTCTGCTCCATTTGTCTACATGTCTGTTTCTGTGCCAGTACCATGCTGTTTTGATTACCATAGCTTTGTAGTATAGTTTTGGGTCAGGGAGTGAGATGCCACCCACTCCACTCTTGTTGTGCAGAATTGCTTTGACAATATGGTGTCTTTTATGATTCCAGACAAACTTTATGATTGTCTTTTCTAGATCTGTGAAGAATGCATCTGGTACTTTGATTGACATTGCATTAAATATGTAGATTAATTTGGATAGGATTGCCACTTTGATTATATTAATTCTTCCAATCCAGGAACTGGGTTATCCTTCCACTTTTTTGTGTCATTTTTAATTTCTTTTTTATCTTCTTGTAGTTTTCCTTGTGGAGATCTTTCATTTCTTTGGTTATATTTATTCCTAAGTATCTTATACTTTTTGTACCTATGGTAAATGGAATAACTTTTTTCAGTTCTATCTCAGTCTGCCTGTTGTTCATAGATAGAAATGGTCTAGACTTCTGGATATTAATTTTTTATCCTGCAACTTTACTGTATTCATGTATTACTTACAGAAATTTTATTGTGGAAATCATTGGGTCTTCTATATGTACAATCATGTCATTTGCAAATAGAAAGAGTTTCACCTCTTCTTTTCTTATTTGAATGCCTTTTGTTTTTTTTCCTCTTCTCTGATTGTGTTGGTGAGGACTTCCAATACTATATTGAAAAGGAGTGGAGAGAGTGGGCATCCTTGTCTTGTATCTGTTTTTTAACTTTTTTTTTTTTTTTGGAGAGGTTTTTGCTATAGGGCACGTGTGCTCGCCAGAAAGACAGACAGAGACAGAGAGACAGAAAGTGAGAAATCATCCCCCGGGGGGTTTGGCCACGTCGCAATCCTTTCTCCTCTATTCTCCTTTCGGGATCCTGGGCATGCATACACATGTGCCTGGTGTGAGTTTAAGCGACCAGGTCTGGGACTTGAACTGCGGTGGACTGCATGGGAGTCCAGCAACATAGCCATTACGCTAACTGCTGTTCCCTCTTGTACTCATTTTTAATGGAAAAGCTTTCAGCATTTCTCCATTAAGGATGATTTTCGCTATGGGTTTTTCATTGATAGCTTTTATTGTGTTGAGAAATGACCCTTCTATGCAGATTTTGCGAGAGTCTTGATCATGAAGGGATGTGTATCTTATCAAATGCTTTTTCTGCATCAGTCGTATGATTTTATCTTTCTTCCTAATATGATGTATTACATTTATGGTTTTGTGTATGTTGAATCAACCTTGCATTCCTGGAATGAAGCCTACCTGATCGTGAAGTATAGTCTTTTTTATAAGTTGTTGGATATAATTTGCTAGCATCTTGTTGAAAATCTTTGCATCTCTATTCATCAGGGATATTGGTCTATAGTTTTCCTTCCTTGTCCTGTCCTTATCTGTTTTAAGGATAAGGGTGATAGAGGCTTCATAGAATGAATTAGGGAGAGATTCACCCTTCTAGATCTTTAGAAATAACTTGAGCAGAATGGGTGTTAACTATTCTTTGAAAGTTTTGTAGAATTCAGAGGTGAATTCATCAGGGCCAGTGCTTTTCTTTGTTGGGAGGTTATTTATTACTGATTCAATCTCCTGGCTTGTTATGGACCTATTTAGACTTTCTATATCCTCCTGGCTCAATCTTGTAGATTGTATGTGTCCAGGAATTTGTCCACCTCATCCAGATTGTCTTGTTTCTTGGTATATAGATGTTCATAGTATCATCTAATAATGTTTTTTATTTCTACTATGTCTGTTGTTATTTTGCCTGCTTGATTGCAGATCTGATTCAACTGGTTCCTTTCTCTTTTCTTCTAAATAAGTCTTGCTAGTGGTGTATCAATTTTGTTTATCTTTTCAAAGAACCCTTTTTTACTTTAATTTATTATCTGTATATTTCGTTTTCTATTTCATTTATTTCTGCTCATATCTTTATTATTTTCTTTTCTCCTCGAGTTTTTTGGATTTTTTTTGGAGTTGAGAATTAATGGTGGAAGAGATTCAATTACTTGATTTTTTAAAAAAAATTTTGTCAGAGGGTGTGTACACTTGCCCAGAAAGACATATAGACACACACACACACAGAGGGAAAGTGAGAAAGCACCTCCCAGCAGAGATGGCCACACTGCAATCCCTTCTCTTCTGTTCTCCTCTCGGGATTTTAGGCGCGTATGCACACGTGCCTGATATGAGTTTAAGCCGCCGGTGGGACTCAAACCATGGTCTACTACATCGAAGTCCAGTGACATAGCCATTACACTAACTGCTGGTCCTGCTTTTCCAATTCTTTGAGGCATGTTAGGTGATCCATTTGCCTTCTTTCTGTCTTCCTCTTACATACACTAATTGCTATGAACTTCCCTCGTATGACTGCTTTAGCAGTGTCCCAAAGATAATGAAAACTCATGTCCTCATTGTCATTGACTTCCATGAATTTTTTTTTTTTTTTGGAGAGGTTTTTGCTATAGGGCGCGTGCGCTTGCCAGACACAGAGAGAGAGACAGAGAGACAGAAAGCGAGAAATCAACCCCCAGGGGGGATGGCCGTGCTACAATCCCTTCTCCTCCATTCTCCTCTCGGGATCTTGGGCATGCATGCGCATGCGCCTGGCGTGAGTTTTAAACCACTGGGTCCGGGATGCAAACTGCGGTCGACTACATGGTAGTCCAGCGACATAGCCATTACATTAACTGCTGGACCCCCATGAATGTTTTGATTTCAGACTTTATTTCTTCACTAGTTGTGGAGTCATTCAGGAGTAAGTTATTTAGTTTCCATGTATTTGAGTATTTTTAAGGATTTCTCTTGCAATTAAACTCAAGTTTAATTCATCATGGTTGGAGAAGATGCTGGATATAGTTTCTATGCCTTTGAATCTGTAGAGGCTTGCTTTGTGCCCTATGATGTGTTTAATCTTTGAGAAGCTTCCATGTGGGGATGAGAAAAAAGTATATCTTGTGGTTTTTGGATGGAAAGTTCTATGGATGTCTGTTAAGTCCATTTGATTTATGGTATCATTTAGATCCTTTATCTCTTTACCTATTTTTTGTCTAGATGATCTGTCCAGAGGGGATAGTGTAGTGTTGAGGTCTCCAACTCTTAGTGTGTTGCAGTCTATCTCCCCTTTTAGCTCTAACAGTCTCCTTCTTGTATTTGGGTGCTCCTGTGTTAGGCACAGATATTAATAAGCATTGTATCTTCATGATTGATTGACCCTTTTACTATAATATAGTGTCCTTCTTTATCTCTTTGAACAGTTTTTGTTTTAAAGCCTATTTTGTCAGAAATTAGTATCGCACTTCCAGCTCTTTTTTGGTTCCCATTTGCATGGCAAACCTTTTTCCAACCCTTCACTTTCAGTCTATGTATGTCTTTAACCATGAAGTGTGTTTCTTGTAGGCAACAGATAGAGAATTTCCATTTTTTAGTCCATTCAGCCAGTCTGTGTCTCTTGATTGGGGAATTTAAGTCATTAATATTCAATGTTATGATCGATGTTCTTGGACCTGTCCTGATGTTTATGTTGGCCATTGTCTTAGTTGCCTTCTTTTCCTCCGTTTGTGGCTGTTACTTCTTTAGTAACTGATGAGATGGCCTTCGTAAGTCACTTCTCATTTCTCTCTTGCCAGTTTTAGTATCATGTCTTTATCTGTGGTCTTAGACAGCCTGACTAAGATGTGCCTTGGGGAAAATCTTCTGGGATTGATTTTATTGGTGGTCCTTTGTATTTCTTGGGTCTTGATGGTTGAGTGCCTCTCTAGACTTGGGAAATTTTCTTCTAGTATTTCATGGAATAGATTTTCCATGTCGTTATTAGTTTCTTCACCTTCTGGGATGCCAATTATTCTGATGTTTGGGCGTCTAATGGAGTTTAGCATTTCTTGTATATTATCTTTGTGTGTTTTTTTTTTGTTGTTATTTTCTCAATCTTTTTGGTGTTTTTTTCTAGGTCAGCGGTATTATCTTCTACATGGAGATTTGATCTTCAGCATGGTCTAATCAGCTCTTAATTACTTTCAAGAGTGTTTTTGATTTCCTGTATTACAGATTTTATCTCTAATAGTTCCCTGATTCTTTCTCAGAGTGTCCATTTCTTCTTTCATATCATGGAAGGACTTCCTAATTTCTTGTAGTTCATTGTCTCTTTTCTGTTCCAACTCAACAGAATTTGGTCACCATGAATGTTTGAAATTCTTTGTCATTTTGGTAACGTCTTCCATATTTATGAGAGATGGAGAAGAGTTACTGTTTTCCTTTGTTGGAGACATAGTTCCTTGTTTATTCAGACCTGAGGCTCTTTTTCTAACTTCTAGCTATTGGAAGATGTATTCCCTTTTGAAAACCTCCTAGGGGAACCTTTCTCCCACTAGGAGTAAGTGTGTTTATTTTTGGCTGGGAATTAATGTTTGCTGAAGTCTTTCTTCTGTTGTTTTTACCAATGTGCTCTGAAGAGGGGAACTCTACTGAGGTGTCTAAAAAGCAGTATCTCCTTTCTCACAGGTGGATCAGTACAAGGGAGGATCCCAGAGACACTTACCGTACTAGGGAATTTCAGATATCTGATTCTAGACCTGTCTAGTCACTTTGGCAGGGTAGAAAATGAAGGGAGGATAATATGAGATGAAATAAAAGACAACAGAGAGAAATAAAGAAAAAGTCACACAGGTGACCCTGCCTCAATATCCCTTGTTGAACAGAGGCCTGTAGGTGGACCTTGTGCCTGCTGCCGGGGAAAGGACAGTCTTGGGCCTAACATTAATTTTATTGGCCTTTCCAGTAAGATCAATAATTTTCTGTCCATTTAATAGCATGTAACTAATTATATCAGTGATTTAAAAGTCCTGAGGTTGTTTGGGTTCTTCAACTGCAGTATTATCTTGTGCCTAGAACTCTGGTGGTCTTCTAACTATGAGCTTGGAACGAGATCTTCTTGATGCTGAACCCATGAAGGAACTTAGCAGCAAGCGTCCACTGGTATGTTCTGAGATTAATGGGCAGATTATTCTTTTAAAGGTAAGTCTAAACTCATCTGACTTGTGGAAGATTCAGAAATATAAAAGAGAGTGGTAGTGTTATTTTTCAGGAAAAAACCCACTGTTTTCTTTCTAAAGTATATACGTTGATTGGCATGATGATTATCCTTCTATATTGTCAGAATTAATAATTTTGACTTTAAGATTTCCCTTATTTCCCTTAATATATCTTCAAAGGATATACTTGCTTTCCTTTTTTGGGTAAACTTACTACATTCTATTCCATAACGTTTTAAAATTTTTTATTTTCTTAACATTTCTTTTTGAAATTTGAGTTACATTATTAACATAGTTTTCTACTCTTTAATTTCTTCTTAACGATCTGGGAAACTATTGATCATGATTAATAGGATAATTAATTTGATGTTGATAGGTACACATTCAAGAATGTGTAGTAAGCTGCAGATAGGATTGTTCTTTAATTTCCAAATTACAACATTCGAAGCAGATGGGAAAGGTATTTATAAATTGTATAATTAAAAATAAAATTAGACCTAGCTTATATAAAAATTATTTTTCTGTTTAAGTTGGAGTGATGTATAATTAGAGTGGGATTTTTAATCTTGGAATTGCCAGTGTATCTTTTTTTTTTTGAAATAAGGGCTATTCTGTGGATGTTGACACAGAAGCCAGGGTGATTCAGAGAGCAGCCTCCTATCACAGAGCTTGGAAAAATGCTAAAGAAAAATCTGGGTTACTACCATTGATATTCCTGTTTTTATGTAAGGTAAAGTTCTTATGCTAATTTCTTGGAGGAAATATTTTACTTAAAATAAGTTTTAGCTCTAAGTTGTAGAGCAGTTAATTTATTCCTTTTATTTTATTTTTTTAAAAGAGAGATTGTTGCGGGACCAGCAGTTAGCATAATGGCTATGTCGCTGAACTCCCATGTAGCCGACTGTGGTTCGCGTCCTGGACCCAGTGACTTAAAACTCACGCTGGGTGCGTGTGTGTGTGTGCGCCCAAGATCCCAAGAGGAGATTAGAGGAGCAGGGATTGCGGCGTGTCCATCCCCCCGGGGGGGTGATTTCTTGCTTTCTGTTTCTCTGTCTCTTTCTGTCTGTCTGGCGAGCGCACGTGCCCTATAGCAAAAACCTCTAAAAAAAAGAGAGAGATTGTTGCTATAGGACATGTGTACATGCCAGAGAGACAGACACAGACAGTGAGAAATTATCCCGTGGGGGGATGGTCGCACCTGCCATCTCTTCCTCTCCATTCTTCTCTCGGGATTTTGGGCATGCCTACACATGTGCAGGTGTGAAGTTTAGACTGCCAGGTCCAGACTTGAACTGCAGTCAGCTATGTGGGAGTCCAGCAGTGTAACTGTTATGTCCTCTGCTGGTCCCAATTCATTCCTTTTAACATGAAACAAAAATTATCTTTTTGAATCAGTGCACATTAAAAATGTGTTGAATAATTTTTCACTTTGAGTCACATTTTTTGTTTTGCTTCTTAGTCTGATCCTCTGGCTTATCTGATGGTCCCATATTATCCTAGGGCAAATCTGAGTGCTATTCAAGCCAGTATGCCTTTAAATTCAGAAGTAAGTAAACACTATTTCCATGGATATATTAAATGAGAAAATAATACTTGTTTTTAAGATGATGCTACATGTTGTATACTTTGTCACATCAACCCTGTGGTATGAATTATCCTGTTGTATAGATGAAAAAAATGAGGCTTAGAGACCCCTGTGTCTTGCATGATGTCCTTAAGCCTGAGGTAGAGTTGAGATGAAATGAGGTCTTTCTGGTTCCAAAGACCAAGATTATACTTTAGTAAGTTGTGCTGCTTATAAATTACTTGGTATAGTAGTTGATACTGTAAGTACTTATGTGGCAGCTTTAATTTTTATCATTGTAAGTTTAGAAATAGTAATAATAATAAAGGAGGCTGTGATTCTTTCTTCCTGGTAACCCTATTTCAATCTCTTCTAGATACTTTGTATGGACATTATTTGTAATCTGAGTCTTCTTAGAGACTGTGGAATATACGTATGATTGTATACACATACACATACGTGCAATATTGCTAGTTATATAGTCAAAGCTTTATCTGGTCTTTAAATCTTTCTCTGTGCTGTATTCTTATGAAAGGTTTGTTTGGAAGAACCTTTACTCTACTTCTGGAACACTGTTTTAGTTAAAAGATTGAGATGTTAAAATTATTTGCCTACTTCCTGACTTCTTTGATTTGTTCTTATCTATAGGAAACTTTAAAGGTCATGAAAGGTGTTGCCCAAGGCCTGCACACATTGCACAAGGCTGACATAATTCATGGGTCACTTCATCAGAACAATGTATTTGCTTTAAACCGTGAACAAGGAATTGTTGGAGATTTTGATTTCACCAAATCAGTGGTAAAATATTATGGCTTTGCCTATACGTTCTAGTCTTCATTGATTAGATATTATCATTAGGCAGTAAGTAGTTCAGTGCTCACATATGATATGGTAATTTATTTAAGATATGTGCCTTTGGTTATAGTATCATGTAGTAAAAGCAATTATCAGTGGTCAGCTAGTCGCTGGAATGAGAATTTCTAAATTTGTGTATTGTATATTTTAACCTTAAGTCCTAGAAATAACCTAATCTTATACTCAGTGGTATTGCCATGATTGTTAATTATTTTATCATCACCAGGGAACATTTAATCACTAGAAAGTAGGTAAGGTGGACTAGGTGGCCATCTCCCAGCCTCTCTCTGCTAGTATCCTCCCTATACATTACATTTAAATATACCTACTTTGCTAATTTTTTTGACTAACAATGTGTGTTTTTAGAAGCCTTAGACATTTCCAGATTTTTCAGCTACAAAATGGTTTTTAATTTGGTACTGTATTACCCCAGAATGAGCAGTTTGTAGAGATTGCAGAGACCACACAATTAAAGAGCAGGTTGTGAAATTTTTATGGTTGAATGGGCCATCTTAAAATATGTGTGATCATGATGGCAAAAATACTTAATTGTCAAATAGATATTGTATATATTGTTTACAACATGTTTTGAATATGTATACAGTATGGAATAGCTATATCAATTTCCTTGTTAAAAATAACAGCTTTACTGAGATAAAATTTACATATTATGAAGTGTACAATTTATTAGTTATTTTTTGAGAGATTTTTGCTATAGAGTGTGTGTGTGCTTGCCATAGAGACAGAGAGACAGAAAGAGACAGAAAGACATCCTCCTCCAGGAAGGGTGGCCCTGCCGCGATCCCTTCTCCTCCAATCTCCTCTTGAGATTTTAGCCATGCACATACATGCACCCATGTGAGTTTTAAGCTGTGGGTCTGGACTTGAACCATGGTTGAGTGTGGAAGTCAAGTGATGTAGCCATTATGCCATCTGCTGGGCCCAGTATTTTTTTGTTAATAGAGCGTGTGTGTCTTCCAGGGAGAGAGAGAGAGAAAGAGAGTGAGAAATTATCCCCCATCTCTCAGAGGAGATAACCACTCCACAATCCCTTCTTTACTCTACTTTAAAAAAAATATAATAGAGAAGAGAAGAGAAGAGAAGAGAAGAGAAGAGAAGAGAAGAGAGGAGAGGAGAGGAGAGGATAAGTAAGAATGCAAGCCACCAGGTCTGGGACTCAAACTGAGGTCAGCTGTGTGGGAGTACAGCACCCTAACAACATTGCCACCTGTTGACCCTCCACTCTACTCTTTCCAGAGAAAGGGGCATATTTTTTAAAGTTTCCATGTCTGGGATTCGAACCATGGAGGTAGTCATGTGGGATCCAGCTGCCTTAACCTTCATGCCAACCTGGCTGGCTTGAATTGATTAGTAATTTTAGTATATTCACACAGTTGTGCTTTAGTCATTGCTACCTAATTCCACAACTTTTTTTTTTCATGCTTGCAAAGTCAGTAATAGTTTACTCATCAAAATAATTTACACAGAATAGTTATAAAATTTCCACAAGTTCCCAGAACTACCCAGGGGAAGTGGTTTAGATACAGAAAGAATCTGGATGCAATTATAAATTATTGTTACAGTTCATGTAGATGATTAGATAGGGGGTGTTATCACTTGCTAAAATAAATCTCATACTGATTAGCAGTCACTCTCTTCAGACCCTAGAAATCACTGATAGACTTTCTATCTTGATGGATTTGCCTAATCTTGTTATTTCATAAACAGAATCATTTATTATGTGGCCTTTTTGTGATAGGTTATTTAAATTAGCATAATGTTTGCAGTGTCCATGTTGTAGTATCTATCAGGTCCTATTTTATGGCTTAATAATGTTTTGTTGTATGGATATACAACATTTTGTTTATATGTTCATCAGCTGATGTACATTTGGGTTATTTATACTTTATGATTATTATGAATAATACTGCTATGAATATTGTACACATTTTTATGTGGACCTGCTTTCATTTCTCTTGGGAATGGAATTACTAAATCATATAGTAGCTCTACATTTCACTTTTTTTTTCCTTAACGCTGGAATGTGTACATGCAGGAGAGGGATGGAGGGAAACTGAGAGTGCGAGCGAGTGAGTGAGAGAGAAAGTATACCCCATTGGGTCATGATCACACTTCAGTCCTTTTTTATTCAGTTCTCTGTCCTTTTCAGGATCTGCATACGCATGCCTGGTATGTTTTTCAAGCCATTGGGGCTTGGACTCAAACTCTGGTTGGTCATGTAGGATCTGGCTTCCTCTGTGAGGCACTTATCTGCTGCACTATAGGGCTGGCCCTCTATATTTCCTTTTTGAGGAACCAAATTGTTTTTCAGAGCAGAATTAGCATTTTCGTTCTCATCAGTAAAAATCTCTCTTAAAAATAAAGTAAAAAAAGAGAAAACATAAAACTAATCAGAAGTTGGATTATACAGGATTTATATAGATTGATTTGCTGAAATATTTATCATATAGATTTATCTTAAAATTAAGATAATAGCCTGATAATAGCCTTTCTCTCAAAAACATACACACACACTCTCTCTGCTCAAGTTTAAATAAATAAAGTTAAAATACTCAGTATCACTGTCATCAGAGAAGTGCAGATCAAAACCACAGTAAGATATCATTTCACACCAGTTAGAATGCTATTATTAAAAGGACAAACAATAAAAAATGCTGGCAAGGATTTGGTAAAAGGGGAACTCTTACACACTAGTGGGAGTGTAAATTAGTACGACCACTATGGAAAGCAGTATGGATATTCCTCAAAAAAGGATGAGATCATTGGGACCAGCAGTTGGCGTAATGGCTATGTCAACTGGACTCCCACATAGTTGACTGCGATTCGAGTCCCAGACTTGGTTGCTTAAACTCACACTGGGTGCGTGTGCATGTGTGCCCAAGAGCCCGAGAGGAGAATGGAGGAGAAGGGATTGCGGCGTGGCCATGCCCCCTGGGGGGTGATTTCTTGCTTTCTATCTCTCTGTCTCTTTCTTTCTGGGGAGGGCATGCGCCCTATGGCAAAAACCTCTAAAAAAAAAAAAAAAAGGATGAGATCATCATTTGTAGCAACATGGTTGAGCCAGGAGGTTATTACATTAGGTGAAATAAATCAGGCACAGAAAGAAACAGTGCATATTCTCTCATGTGGAAGTCAAAAAAGTTGATCTGATGAAGTGGAGAGCAAAATGGTTGCTATTAGAAGCTGGAAAAAGTAGGGACAAGGGGATTATTATGACAATTTCATTAATGGATATAAAAGTATAGCTTCATAGGAATCAATTCTTGTGTGTAGTAACAGTGTAGGATGACTGAGTGTACCAACAGAAGGTAGGAGAGACGGCCAGTTTGTTGTATGGTGGTTAAGGTGGCTGGATGCCATTTGGCTGACTGCATGGTTTGAGTCCTGTACACAGTAGCTTAAAAAACATACCAGATATGTGTGTGTGCATGCCCAAAGTCCTGAAAGAAGGGAGAAATAGAGGAGAAGGGAATGTGGTATGACCCATAGGGAATGCTTTCTCACTTTCCCTCTCTCTTTTTCTCTGTCTCTGTCTGGCTAGTCCAAATGCCCTCTGATCAATTAAAGAAGAAAGGTTAAAAATAAAGAAAAAAAAAGTAAGGAGAAAGCATTTTGAATGTTCCCAAGATAAAGAAGTGATAAATATTTGAGTGAATGGTAGAATAATTACTTTGATTTGACCATTACACACTGTGTACATTATTGACATATCATACTATACCCCATAAATATGCACTATTCCCAATTACTAGTTGTTAATTTAATATGCTACTGGCAGCAGGTGGAGATCATTAACACTTAGTGATATACATTTGGCATTGTACTAGTTATTTTTATCTTTATAAGTAACTCCATGAGGTAGATATTCTTTCCATTTTACAAGTTAGTTAATTTAGGCTCAAAGAGGTTAAAGCCCAAGGTCACACAGTAGAAAGTGGGACAGTGGCAGGACCACCAGTTAGCGTAATGGCTATGTTGCTGAACTCCCATGTACTCGACCACGGTTCTAGTCCCAGACCTGGTGGCGCGTGTGCGTGCATGCCCAAGATCCCAGGAGGAGAATAGAGGAGAAGCGATTGAGGTGTGGCCATCCCCCTGGGGGGAGGGTGTGATTTATTTTCTGTCTCTCTGTCTCTCTCTTTCCAGAGAGCACATGTACCCTATAGCAAAAACCTCTAAAAAAAAAAATGGGACAGTGGGAATTGAAATGAAGGTCTGTTCTATTCTAGGTCTACTGATTATCCTTTGACATGTTAGGATTGTTATATTTAGAAAATTATTCGTAAGGACAGGAAGTACTTTGTAGAACATCATTGATTAAAAAAAAAGCATTTTCAGAAGTAGAAAATAACACTGACACCATTGTGGAATATTTTCTTAAAAAGAACCATTTGATGTTTAATAAAGAATTAATAGTTTAGAATCTATGTGAAATTTATGAAATTCATGTTAAGACCAATTTACAATAGCAGAAATTAGATAAAAAACATTTGAAAACATGGGAATGAAGTATTTTAAATTACTTTTTTTTTGGTATTTATTAAATATGCAGTCCTTCATAGAAAGCCACCTCAACTGCGCTGCTTTTAAAATACTCAAAATATTGTTTTTGCAGAACCAGCGATCCTCAGTGAACATGGTGGCTGGTGATTTAAGTTTGATATCACCTGAGTTGAAAATGGGGCAACCTGCTTCTGCAAGCTCAGACTTATATGCTTATGGCTGCCTTTTATTGTGGGTATGTTATTTTTAATAAAATAGATCAGTCATTTTAGATAAGTTTTAGTGATTCTTCTTAACATATTACTCTGAATAAAGATCAATGGTAGACTTTAAGTAAAAAATCATTTTTAAAGTTTTATCATAAACTCTCATCATATTTCCTGACACTTGAACTTTCTGCAAATTGGCTTGATAATATCTTTTAGGCATTATGTTGTTGTCTTAGTTTTGTTAAAGTCAAGACAAACAGTGAAGAACATTTTGTCTTAAATAGTCTGGAGATAGTTTATGCATATGTGGAAAATAATTGTTAAATGAGCCTTGGGTAAATATTCATGTTTCTAATGTAAACCAAGTAGCTATTTCTTACTTATGGCTCAAGAATGAGGGATTAAGTATGATCAGCATTGTACTGGAGGTTCTTGCTGAGGGATCAGTGAACATTTTCTAAAAGGAGGTAATAATTATTTTAAGCTCTGTGGGCCATATGATCTCTGTTATAAGTACGCAAGTTTTGCTGCTCTGGTGTGAAATTTGTGGCCGTACACAGTATGTAAACAAATGAGTGTGGCTCTGTTCCAATAATATTTGGCTTTGGACATTGAAATTTGATTTTCATATAATTTTAAAAAATAATTATTTTATTCATGATAGAGAGTGCATGTGTAGACAAAAGGGAGGGGGGAGAACCCTCAACAGGGTCTCATCATGACGTGATCCCCTTTTCCCTGTCTTCTAGCTCATCAGGATCTCAGGCAAGTATACACACACACTAAGTGTATTTTCAGGGTTTGAACCTGTGCTCAGCCATGTGGCTTCCAGTGCTGCAGTTCTCTTTGGTATGTTGGTGCCCATTGGGCAGAGTCTGTCTTTTACACTGAATATGTAAAAACTACCTTCTAGGCTGTACAAAAAGAAACAGTAGTATTGATTTGATACAGAGGCCATAGTTTTCTATCCCTGTTCTAGCAAGTGTATCAAAGCAACAAAAAGAGTAAGTCATCCTGGGGCTCTTCAAAAGTTCATGGAAAATGCCTTTTATGATAAAAATATGCATAGATGTCAGTTATTTTGGTACTAAAATAGACTTGTACTTTAATTCTTTTTTACAAAATTTTTGAGGTCAAACTTCTGAAGTTTGAAAATAAAGAAATAACGCTATAATTTATTTTCAGATGACATGATTAATTATGTAGACAGTATTTAGGACTGTACATAAAAGTTACAAGTAGTTAACAAGAAGTGTTTAGTACTAACAAGTGAATTTAGAAAGATAATAGTTTTAATTTCAGTATAATTGTATTTTATATACACTGTCAACAAATAATAGGATATTGAAATTAAAAATCATTCACAAAAATATGGCAGTTTTAGGGGTAAGTTTAACAAAAGATGTGTAAGACCTGTACAGTGAAAACTACAAAGCATTGTTTAGAGAAATTAAAGAAGATGTAAATAAATGGACACATTGTGCTTATGTACTATAGGACTTAATTGTATATGGATGTTAGCTCTTCTCAGATTGATCTGTAGATTCAGAGTGCATATGCTTTTTTTCCCCCCAGAAACTAACAATTAAATTCAAAGCATTAATGGCACAAAGAGGTATGGTGTTGTCTATTGAAGATATTTCGTAGTTCTATCAACGGTACTGGGGAGAAATGTTCACTTGTTGAAATATCCAATTTGTAAGACAAATAATAATGTGGTTGAATGTATGGAAGAAAATGAAATGAAAAAAAATTCTGTAATTTATATAAAACTGCAGATGATCTGGGATAACTAAACCAATTTTGAAAAAAACAAAATTGGAGGAATCAGCAGATGGTGTAATGGTTACATTGCTGCACTCCCATGTGGCTGACCAATTTCAAGTTCCAGACCCTGCATCTTGAAACTCATGCCACATGCCCCGCAAGAGTTTCAAGCCTCCAGGTCTGGGACTAGGAATGTGGTCAGCCACATGGGAGTCCAGTGCCTTAATCATTATGCCACCTGCTGGCCCTGGTGAGTAGTTAATCTATTATATGGCTGTACCAAGTTTGTTTATACACCTGTTGACAGATATTCAGGTTGCTTCCAGATTTTGGCCCTCACACATAGATCTGTTATAAACATTTATGTATAGATTTTTATGTGAACACAAGTTTAAAGTTTCTTACATGAACAAGAGAGACACACAGCACTTTCAATGATATCTTCATCTCTAACAGCTCCATTTGATTCATATTTATAATGTGTATTTCTGCTTTCAAATCATGGAAGAACTTTCTCATCTCCTGGAACACATTGTCTCTTTTCTCTTGTATCTTCTGGAGTTCGTTGTCGCTCTTCTCTTACATCTTTATTAATTTTGTCACTATGAATACTCCGAATTCTTTTTTTTTTTAATAGAGGTTTTTGCTATAGGTCATATGTGCTCACTGAAAAGACAGAGAGACAGAGACAAAAGTGAGAAATCACTCCCTTGGGGTTGGAGGAGATGGCCATACCACAGTCCCTTCTCCTCCATTCCCCTCTTGGGATCTTGGGCATACATTCACACACACCCAGTGTGAGTTTAAGCCACTGGCTCCAGGAGTCAAACTGTGGTTAACTACATGGGAGTCCAGCAACATAACCATTATGGTATCTACTAGTCCCAGTATTCTGAATTCTTCATCTGACATTTTCATGAGTTCCATTGTATTGTCTGTTGATGATGAAGGGTTGTTCTTTTCTCTTGGGGGAGAGATTTTTTTTGTTTGTTTCTCACATTTCTTGTGCCTCTGCAGTGGTTTCTGGTCATCTGATGGATTATACATTTCTTCCTAATAACCCTGAGCATTCAGAGGCATGTGGGAGGAGATGACCCATAATCTCTCTGCTATTCCATTTCCCTGATGCTCATCAAACAACCTGTGCTTTTGTCGTTGGAACTGGATATCACTAAGGCCTCCCATTTTCTCGAGAACAGGTGCACCTGAGCTGAGCTTCAGGGTTTTAACTGAGAGTTCAGAGGCGTATGGGAGGAGATGAGCCACGCTCTTTCTGCAGCTCTGTATTTCTTCCTGCTGCTCACTTTGCAGTCTCTTTTCTCTGATTTTTAGTCATTTGATATTGACGTTTGGCAAATTTGTTGGAAAAGGTTTCTACAGCTATAAATTTGTATGCTTCCCTTTACTGTGAGGTACTTCTGTACCAATTTCTTCTATTGTGTTTTGTTGTTTGATGTGTTCATATATAGGTTATATCTTCCTGGTAGACTGATCCTTTTATCATTATGTAATGTTCCTCTCTATACTAACTTTCTTTATTTTACTGTACCTGATATTAATATAGTCTTTTTTTTTTTTTTAAGATTTTTGCCATAGAGTGTGTGTGCTTGCCAGAGAGAGAAAGGGAGAGAAACAGAGACAGAGGGAAAGTGAAAAATCATGCTTCAGGGGGAATGGCAACACTGCAATATCTTCTGTTCCATTTTCCTCCTGGGATTATGGGCATGCATGCACAAGCACATGGTGTGATTTTCAAGTTGCCAGATCTGAGACTCAAACCATGATCAGTCATGTGGGATTCTAGCTCCTGAACCACTATGCCACCTGCTCCCATTTTTGTTTTTAAAAATTAATATTTGCATGGTACATGCTTTATTGTTCTTTGACTCTAAAGGTACCTAGTCATTTTTGCATCTTAAAAATTAATATTTGTGGGGCAGCAGGTGGTATGGTGAAGGTGCCAGACTCCCATATGATTGACTGTCGTTCAAGTCCTGGGCCTGGTGGTTTGCTTTCTCACTTTCTCTTTCTCACTCTGGTGCGCACACATGGCCTATAGCAAACAAATTAATATTTTCATGTTTTTTAAAAAATTTATTTTTACTATGGAGATGTGCACTGGTTGGAGAAAGCGACAGAGAGAGAGACAGAGAAAGAAATAACCCACAAGGGTGGATGTGACCATGCTTCAGTCCCTTTCCACCAGTCTCCTCTAAAGATTTTGGGCATGGATACACCTGCTGTGATTTTCAAGCCACCAGGTTTGGGACTTGATCTAAGAACTTGGCCATGTAGGATCCAGCTGCCTTAAACTCCATGCCACCTGCTGGCTCTCTCTCTCTCTCTATATATATATATATACACATACCATTCTTTCACTCTAATGGTAAAAGTACTTACATTGTTGATTTTTAAGTTTCTTATAAATAACATGATTGCATCATTTTTTAATTTACTCTATCAATCTGTCTCTTTTTTTATCTTATTTTATTTCAAGTTCATTTATACTGTGAATCACATGATTTAGTTTGAAAAGTGAATATTCCAATATGTTTACATTTCTCCCCAGTCCACTTGATAATAAAGTTATCTTCAACAGATAATAACCCATTTATTTGTCCCATTAATGCTTTGCCTCTCCATTTTTCTCCTTAATGTCCTTCCTCAGACTCTGTTCCTTCACCCATGCTCTTCCCACACTATATCTGGTATTCACAACCATTTACTGTGTTTCTATATTTTTTAGTCATTCAATTTTGGTCATAGAGTGTGGAAAGTTGGTATATATTAAGTGAGGACATACAATGTCTCTTCTTCATAGCCTGCCTTGCTTCACTCAGGAGTAAATCTTCTATATTCATCCACTTTCTGTCAAAAGCCAGGGTCTTGTTTTTTATTGCTGAGTAGTATTCCATAGAGTAATGTGCCACAGTTTTTCAATCCATTCATCTGTTCATGAGCATTTGGGTTAGGTGGTCTTAGCAATTGTGAATAAAGCTGCAATAAATACCAATGTGCAAGTACTTTTCTGATTAAGAATGCTTCTGTCTTTCGGGTAAATACCAAGGAGTGGGATTGTTGGGTCATATGGAAGTTCTATTTGTAGATTTTTGAGGAATCTTCAAATTGTTCACCACAGTGGGTGAACCAACTTAAATTCACACCAGCAGTGTAAGAGTGTTCCTCCTTACACTACATCCCTGCCAGTACTTATCATTTTTGTTTTTTTAAATCTTAGTCATTCTGACTGGGGTTAGGTGTTGTTTTGATATGCATTTCCCTTACAATGAGGGATGTTGAGCATTTTTTCATATGCTTTTTGGTTATTCATATGTCATTCTTAGAGTGTTTTTTCCAACTCATTCATCCATCTTTTAATAGGGTTGATCATCTCTTTTTAGGAACAGCTGCTTGAGTTCCTTCTGTATTCTGGTTATCAATCCCTTATCTAATGAATAGTTTACAATAATATTTTCCCATTCTGAAGGCTGTTGATTCACACTAATTACTGTGTCTTTTGCCATGCAGAAACTTCTTAGTCTGATATAATCCCACTTGTCTATTTTAGGAATTATTGATTGTGCTTTGGGGGCCTTACTTAAGAAGTCTTTGCCTACCCCAATGTCTCCCAGAGTTTCTACAGTGTTTTCCAGGAGCGGTTTTAACTAGTTTGATGTCTTAGGTTTAGATCTTAGATCCCCCTTGAGTTGGTGGTGACAGGTAGGGGTCCAGATTCATCTTTCTGAAGGTGGATATCCAGTTTTTTTTTTTTTTTACATTATTGAAATACTGAGTTCATTTCATATGTACATTTTTGTCTCCCCACCATTTCCATGTCTGACCACCATTACTACTATGTCCTATCATGACATTCTATACATACTTAAAACCAAGCAAAGAGTGGAGTTCCATCTTTAAAAATTAAACAGGCATTTTGGACAAAACATTCTTGGCAGTGGAACCTGGACAACATTTATCAAACACAGTAAGGGAAGTTCTCACTCTGCAAAGGACAGCCAGATATCAACTGTCATAGAAATGAAATAAGACAGAAAATTTCAACAAAACGTTTAAACGGTTTTCTTAAAGAAGTCTTTCTCCACTGCCAGAGATCTTGAATAGCCTCCTGATCAGTCATCCAGAAGCAATTTTTTACATAATTGATAAACTTGGCTTCCACTGTGGGAAGAGAACCACCTTTTTCTACACTTGCTTGCATTTTTGCTTTATCTTCTACAGAACTAGCTCCTTTTGGTGTTTCAGGATTTTTTTCCTGTTTTTTTGAATGATTCTTGACCTTTTGATCTTGGTGTTGATGGTTTTGAGTCTTTTCCATTCTGGTTTGATTTTTGAGCATTTTTTCCAAGAGTATCTCACATAGATTTCTTCACTGGAGCTTTTTATTCTGTTTCCTCATCTTCAGAATCATCATTATCATCATCAATCATCATCATCTCTGTCAGCAGCAAGTTTTACTTTTTTTCTGTGGAACCTTGCTACCACTTCCAGGGGCAGATTGTTTTTCCAGATATACTTAAGAGTTTCACATCCTCTTCCTCTTCTTCTTCTGACTCTGCATCTTCCTCCACAGCTACTAAGTGCTGTCCACTAATATGCACAGGCCCTGAACCACACTTCAACCTTAAGACCACAGGTGGTGTTATTTCAAAGCCCCCAAAGGAAACTGTTGGCTGTACAGACATTTTCAGCATTGCTAGTGTTACTTTAATTGGACTGCCTTCATAATTCATTGTGTCTGCATCAACAATGTGCAATTCATCCTTTGCACCAGGTCCTAAACTGACTATTTTTAAGATAACTGGTGTCCATTTTCATCATTATCCATTTTAAAGTGATAATCTTTGTCAGCCTTTAGTTCACAACTGAAAAGATAGTTCTGGGACCTCAGGGGGCTCGTGTCCATGTCCATTTAATCTTCCATGGGGTGGTGGCACGTGCTTGGGTGGTCGAGAAGGCGGATGGAGGTAAAGGCAGATGGAGGTAAACAACTATGGCTCCCGTAAACAGCTGTGCAGGATGGAATCAATCCAGAGCAGGATATCCAGTTTTTCCAGCACCGTTTTCTGAAGAGGTTTTCCTTTTCCCAGTGGATGGACTGGGAAAAAATCAGTTGACTGTTTGTTTGGTAGTTTATTTCTGAGGACTCTATATTCTGTTCCATTGGTCCACCTGTTTTGTGTCAGTACCATGCTGTTTGGATTACCAGAGCTTTGTAGTATATTTTTGGATCAGGGAGTGAGATACTGCCCACTCTATTCTTCTTGTGCAGGATTGCTTTGGCAATACTAGGTCTTTTATGATTCCAGACAAATTTTCTTTCTTTTTTTTTTTTTTGGAGAGGTATTTTTGCTATAGGGCGTGTGCGCTCACTAGAGACATAGAGAGAGAAAGCGAGAAATCACCCCCCAGGGGGGATGGTCACACCACAATCCCTTCTCCTCCATTCTCCTCTTGGGATCTTGGGCACATACACACACACGCCCGGTGTGAGTTTTAAGCCACCGGGTCCGGGACGCGAACCGCGTCGAATATGTGGGAGTCCAGCAACATAGCCATTACGCTAACTGCTGGTTCCCAATTCCAGACAAATTTTATGATTGTCTTTTCTAGATCTGTGAAGAATGTGTCTGGTACTTTGATTGGGATTGCATTAAATATGTAGATTAATTTGGGTAGACTTGCCATTTTGGTTATATTAATTCTTCCAATCTAGGAACATGGGACATCCTTCCACTTTTTTGTGCCATTTTCAATTTCTTTTTTAAGCTTCTTGTAGTTTTCCTGGTGGAGCAGTTAGCTTTAGTTAGATTTATTTCTATGTATCTTAAACTTTTTGTGGCTATGGTAAATGGAATAACTTTTTTCAGTTCTATCTCAATCTGCCTCTATTCGTATATTAAGTGGGGTCAATTTTTGTTCCAACACCAATAAGTCCCCCTGGAGCAGCATACTGAAGATCATTATGTTCCGCAAAAAGTGATACAATTTTGGAAAAGATTGGCTTACACATGAGTTTTCCTTCACTATCTTTGGAAACAATACCAGGTCTGACTTCAATCTCCTGGCCCACCTATAAACATAAAATTAGTAATAGAAATTACTGCAAAAAATACAACTTTCATTTACCTATCAAAAGTTCTAACAGAAAGACCACAAAACTAAAAAGGCAGTCCTTGGGACCAGCAGGTGGCGTGGTGGTTAAGGTGCTGGACACTCCCACATAGCTGACCAGGGTTCAAGTCCTGAGTCTGGTGGCTTGCTTTCTCACTCTCTCTCTCTCTCTCTCTCTCACTCACTCTCACCCTCTGTCTCTCTTTGGTCAAATTAAAAAAATAAATGAATAAATAAATAAAATAAATAATTATGTTTAAAAACGTAATAATAAAATAAAATAAAATAAAATAAAAAGGTAGTCCTTCCTCTATTTCAAAGATTGCTATTTAAAAATTTAAAAGATTTGAAAAAGAGCTTCAAAATCAGAATCATTTAACTGTTGGTAACTATCTATCACACAGTAAGTCTATCATCATATAAAATGTACTCTATACTCACAAGAAACTTATACATTTAGAGGTCAGACATACTCAAACAACATAATAGTAAACAAGAAATCTGTATCAAATACTAGACACTGTGAAAAAGAAAATGTACTTTTCAGTCTGGATCAATAAGAAAGAGTAAAACTGGGGCTAGCAGGTGGCATGGTGGTTAAGGTGCTGGATTCCCCCATCGCCAACCACAGTTCAAATCCTAGACCTAGTGGCTTTTTTTTTCTCTTTTTCTTTTTCTCTTGTTCAACTTAAAAATAACAGTAATAAATAAAATTAAATAAAATAAGTCTAAAAAAAAGGTAAGGGCAAAACAAAGCACAAAACAAAAACACAACAACCAAAATTCAGTTTACCTTTAATACTCCTTTTAGAATACTACCACCAGCTACACCCCCCTTAAGGTCATCAACTTCACAACCAGGCTTGTTGACATCAAAAGACCTAATAACTAAAGAAAAGAAAAATAAGTTAAAGCCAATTCTGTTCATTTTTAATTGCAGAAGAAATATACTCTTCTAACTTAAAAATTTCAAGATAGAAGCCACATAAGATTTATACCAAAGGGTGACTTTTAACAAAACCAAATTTATTATTCTAATACTTATTTATAATGGAAAAGATTGAAATAACTTGAAAGTTCATTAAACGTTGGTATACTGGACCAGCAAGTGGCATGGAGGTTAAAGAAGCTGGATCTAAAAAGGCTAATTGCGTGATTTGAGTCCCCAAGAGAAACTGGGCTCAAATGTCTGTTTTAAAAGGCTTCTAGGGATCAGCAGTTAGTGTAATGGCTATGTCGCTGGACTCCCATGTAGTCGACCGTGGTTCATGTCCCAGACCTGGTGGCTTAAAACTCACGCCAGGTGTGTGTGCATGCATGCCCAAGATCCCGAGAAAGGAGAATGGAGGAGAAGGGATTGCGGTGTGGCCATCCCCCCGGGGGCTGATTTCTGGTTTTCTGTCTCTCTGTTCCCCTCTCTCTCTCTGTCTGGTGAGTGCACGCGCCCTAGAGCAAAAACCTCATCAAAAAAAATTTAAAAAGGGAACCAGCAGTTAGCGTAATGGCTATGTTGCTGGACTCCCACGTAGTCGACCGCGGTTCGCGTCCTGGACCTGGTGGCTTAAAACTCAGGCCAGGCACATGTGCATGCGTGCCCAAGATCCTGAGAGGAGAATGGAGAAGGGATTGCGGCATGACCATCCGCCTGGGGGGTGATTTCTCACTTTCTGTCTCTATGTCTCTGTCTGCCTGGCGAGCGCACGTGCCCTATAGCGAAAACCTCTCCAAAATAAATAAATAAATAAATAAAAATAAAATAAAAGACTCCTATATCTATAGATAGGAAACTTAGATGATCAAAATATAGTAATACTGTTTCTTCATAAATGGTTCAATGAAACCAGTTGAATGGAAGGCCGAAGTTGTTGTAATTCAGTAGAAAGTACCATATTACTCCATCTCAGCTGCACAGCATACCTTGAGCACAAAAAGGTTAACAATTCCTACTATATTCAGGACTGTTCCTCATTTAGTAATGCTACTTGGATTGCCAATACAATCTCGGAACTAATTATTTTTAAAAATTGTTGAGGATGAGGGACCAGCAGTTAGCATAGTGGCCATGTCGCTGAACTCCCATGTAGCCGATCACGGTTCGAGTCCTGGACCTGGTGGCTTAAACTCATGCTGGACGTTTGTGCGTGCCAACAACAAAAGAAAAAAATCGTTGAGGATGTATTATCCCTGCAGGAAGAGGGACTTTTTTTTTTTAAGAATTATTTTAATTTAACTTTATTTATTTTCATTTGACCAGAGAAGAACGGGATTGGGGGGTGGGGAATGGGGGGTGCTGAGACAGTAAGCCACCAGTCCGGGACATGAACTGCGGTCAGCTATGTGGGAGTCCAGCAACCTTAAACACCATGCCACCTGCTGGCCTGGAAGAGGATCTATTAATAAATACTTTTTTTTTTTTGAGAGGTTTTTGCTATAGGGCACGTGTGCTTGCCAGAGAGACAGAGAGACAGAAAGCGAGAAATCACCCCCCAGGGGGGATGGCCATGCCACAACCCCTTCTACTCTATTCTCCTCTCAGAATCTTGGGCACGCACGTACACACACCTGGCATTGAGTTTAAGCCACCAGGCCCAGGACTCTAACCAAGGTTGACTACATGGGAATCCAGTGACATAGCCATTATGCCAACTGCTGGTCCCAATAAATACTTTTTAAGGGGAATAATCATTGTGGAAAAACTCAAAGGTCACCAAAAATCCTGACAGGATGGAAAAATGGAGAAGAGAATGCACCGAGACCAGGCACCATCAGGGGGTGCTTTCTCCTCCTTTTTCTCTGGCAAGTGTACGTTCCTTCTGACAAATTAAAAATAAATCATACTTTAAAAAACTTCAAAGCCATTCCTATACTTACCAATAAGTCGGGGTTCTGAAGTAAAGTCTCTTGGGGGTACCGGAATTTTCTTAACTATGTACTCACAGACAACTTCAATATTGTATTTCAGCTGAGCAGAAATTGGAATAATGGGAGCTCCTTCTGCTACTGTACCTATATGAAAAATTTGGAAAGAACAATATTCTTCAGTTTTATACAACTTGTTCTACCTGTCTATTACATAAGATTACTAAAAAGGATGTCTAAACATGGCCACACAAATGCCAGCAACAAGTGGAAAGTGATCATTCAGTTCAGAAAAATGGTTATAGTCTATGGTTTGTTTTCACTCCTGAAAATGAATATCATTCCCTTTAAGGGAAAAACTATTAAATCATATTAATAGATATATTTAATATGGTAAAACTGTTTAAAGGAATAAAACACACTCCTGGGAAAGAGCGCTATAGTAGTCAAAAAAATGTCTAATAACATGTAATTAGCCTCTTAATAAATGTCAAGATAAAATTACAGACTCTGCTAATCAAAGACTGCTGACACATACTTTATCTGCTCCATATTAATTATACATCAGACAGGCTGTACAAAGAAATGGACTACATAAACAATTATATTTTAACAAAAATGACTTTTCTTTCTCTTAATGACAGAACTGCATGCATAGGCAGTTAACCTTTCTAACAAGTAAAACAAGACCACAAGAGAATCAATATCAACAATAAGATGCCTCATGTCTTCCCTGAAATGAAAAACACTATGCTGCTAGAGAAAAGGACACTATGAAGATTAAATAGGGACCAGCAATTGGCATAATGGCTATGTTGCTTGACTCCCATCTAGTCGACCGCGGTTCAAGTCCCAGACCTGGTGGCTTAAACTCATGCCTGGCACGTGTGCGTGTGTGCCCAAGATCCCAAGAGGAGAATGGAGAAGGGATTGCGGTGTGGCCATCCGCCCGGAGGGTGATTTCCCGCTTTCTGTCTCTCTCGCTGTCTTTCTGGTGCAAGCGCCCTATAGCAAAAACCTCTCCCAAAAAAAGATTAAATAAAGAAATCACCATCATTGCTGATTCTGCAAGTAGCTATTCAGAAGGAATAGTGTATGTTACCTTTAAAAAATGCTTTTAGGGCCAGCTGGTGGCGTGGTGGTAAAGACAGCTGGATCACACATGGCCAACTACGTAGTTCCTGCCCCAGACTTGGCAGCTTGAGCAACACAAAATGCATGTGTACTTGTCCAAGATCCGAAAAGGAGGGATACTGGTGGAGAAGTGATTGTATCTTGACCACCCACCATGGCAGGGTGCTTTCTCATTTTCTCTGTCTGTCTCTCCCTAGCAAGCACATGAATCCTATGACAAAATAAAAAAGAAAAACAAAAAACAAAAACGCTTTTATCCATTTTACTATCACTAAGCATTTTTTAAAATGTGATTGAGGGACCAGCAGATGGCATAGCAGTTACATTATTAGACTTCCACGTAGTCAACTGCACTGTAAGTCCCAGACCTGGTGGCTTAAAACTCATGCCAGGTGTGTGTGTGCCCAATATTCCAAGAGCAGAATAGAACAGAAGGGATTGCAGTATGGTCATCCCCCCTGGAGGGGGGGGGGGTTCTCATTTTCTGTCTCTCTGGCGAGAATATGTACCCTATAGCAAAAATATCTTTAAGAAAAAAAAGTGATTGATAGGGACCAGCAGATTATATAATGGTTACATTGTTGGACTCCCAGGTAGTCAACCATGGTTTGAGTCCCAGACCCAGCAGCTTAAAACACAGGCTGGTTATGTGTGTGTGTGCATGCCCAAAATCCCAAGAGGAAAAAATCCCCCTCTGGGGGATGATTTCTCATGTTCTGTCTGACTCTGTCTTTCCGGTGAGTGCATATGCCCTATAACAAAAATTTCTCAAGGGAAAAAAAAGGTGATTGATAAAGTTTCCAGAAGATAATTTCAGTTTTAACTTTCGGGTAGCAAAATTATGCTTCAATAAATGCAATTCAGAAACACAGATTTCAGTAGTAACATCAAACCATTAACTAGAAATAAGTACAGAAATAAGGCTTAAGATCCCTAGGTTTGCCTTGTTCTAGGTAATCTATTATATTAAACATGAATTTCCTATCTGGTAACTGTATTAAATGACTCTCAAATGGATTCACAGATTTTTAGATATTATTGCTTCTTACCTTGTACAAATGCAAGGATCTGTTCATATTGTTCTTTAGCCTGACTTTCTTTTACCAAATCAATTTTATTTTGTAGAATTAAAATATGCTTCAGTTTCATAATTTCTATAGCAGCCAGATGCTCAGAGGTCTGAGGCTGTGGACAAGATTCATTACCAGCTAGCAGGTGAAGAACAAAAAAGACATGTGTTAAGTATAGCTGGAAATATTCACAATCGGCAAATCCACAGTTAGAGAAAGCATATTATTGGTTGCTAAGGGCTAGGGAAAGGGGAGAAAGGGAATTGACTGTTTAATGGCTGTGTGTAGCTGGCATTCAATAAAGGAAACTTCAGTGTTCCAAGTCGTACTCAAGGAAAAAGCCCTGGATGTTGTCAAACATCCACCTTTGGGAACCAGCAGTTAGCGTAATGGCTAAGTCGCTGGACTCCCATGTAGTAGACCGCGATTCGCATCCCAGACCCGGTGGCTTAAAACTCACACAGGGCGCGTGTGTGTGCGTGCCCAAGACCCCGAGAGGAGAAGGAATTGCGGCGTGGCCATTCCCCCTGATGTGGCTCGATTTCCTATGGGACTGGAGGAAGCTCTGTTTGCCAAGACTATACTGGATACTATGTCTCACCTTCACCCCCAAGTTAGCTAGCCAGACCCTCTGCTTTTTGCCCCTGCTTCACCCTCTGTGCCTATACTCACTGGAGTTTCTCAATCTTTTGGCTTCCACTCCTGGCCCGAAACAAACTAATCACCTTACATGATTTAAATGGAAAAAATCTATCAATTTTGGGGGGGAGGCGGGGGTGCTATGGTAAGGATTCTCGGAAGCTATCAGCCCCAGAGTAGGGCTGTCATCCTAGATGACATGTTAGTTAGCGTTCATGTCACCCTTAGGTAGTGAACATGGCCCCTAAAAGTCTTAGTTCCCCTTTAAATAGTCCATCTTGGATTTGTTTCACAGTATCTGTTCACACCAATTCTGATGTATTTACCTATCAACAGAAGAGCTGCATCCATCACTGCTGCACCGTTCAGCATAGTAGCCATCAAAATATCGTGGCCGGGACAGTCAACAAAAGAAACATGTCTAGCAATAGAAAAATAATAATCAGCCTTAATATCAATCAATACTTGAACATGCAAGTGATAAGTTACCTAAAGTTAAATCACTTAAATAATCCTTATTGCTATAAAACGGTCATGTAACTTGTTTCCAGAACTTGAAAATAACATTACTAGCTGAGAGTAAAATCATAGCAGATGAAATCAGCTATGTGTAGCAGTAACTGAAGAGACGGAAACTACCAAATTCAATCAAAATGAATATGGTATTGGGACAGCCTCGTAGCTTCCTGGTTCCCACAAAGCTCACTGAGGTTTGACTCTTGGCCCCAGTAGCTTGAAAACACACTGGTCATATGTCTGTGCATGCCCCAAATCCCCACAGGATGGAGAAATGGAGAAGGGATTGTGTCATGACCACATCCCATTGGAGAGTGCTTCCCTCCACCCCCATCTCTCTCTGGTGAGTGTACATGCCCTCTCGCAATTTAAAGAAAAAAAAAAAAGTTAAAAAAATGAGTATGTTCCAGAATAATGGCACAGAGGGTATATGAGGAATGTCATGAATTTAAAAGCTAAAACCTAATGACTTATAAAAACCTGTTAACAGAATAGGATACATTTGAAAAATAATTTGCCAAAAGACATGTGGCACCTTAAAAGACTAGGGACCAGCAGGTAGTGTGGTGGTTAATAGCCCTGGACTCCCACAGGGCTGTCTGTGGTTCAAGTCCTGGACCTGGTGGCTTGCTTTCTCACTTTCTCTCTCCCTCTCTGGTCAAATTAAAATAAATAAAGACAAATAAAATAATTCCTAAAAATAGAAAAAAAGGGAACCAGCAGTTAGCGTAATGGCTATGTCGCTGGACTCCCACGTAGTCGA